ACTCCTGGGTGATGATGGCCCCTGTAAAACTCTTGGACCTATCTTGAAATGACACTTTGTACTGTTTTCATTTAGTCCCAAGCAAAAAAGAGTACCAAGATTTTGGAAAGGGTAAATGCTGTGTATGATCCCTGTTGGGCAAATTTGTGTTTGTAATGCTTCTCTTTGCAATATATCCTCATATTTAAGGTGGAACAATGAGTGTAGTAACCTTCCAGTTGGTTCAGAATTCCAAATGATTTCTCCTGAAGCACCCAGATAATTGAGAAAAAACAAAACCCTATGATTTCCTGGTCTGAACTCTCTCACTAACCCATTTACTTCTCAGCTTGACTCTGAGTATGTAGATAAAGCCTCTGCTGGAGGGACTAAGATGTCCTAATTGATTGTGGTTAAATTTATACCTTACGGGGTGAATGAATTCACCCATTTGACCACCATCATAATTCCATGAGTCTATGGGAAGGGGGCAGGATAGATGGACATGAAGTTAAAAACAGAGGCTACCACCTGGGGAATTCCTTTTCTGCCAAGGAGGACATGCTGTTCTTATTCAGAGAGGAAGCAAGCAAGCTGTATACTGGTCAATTTCTAGGTTCTAGGACTCAGGTAACAAACCTGGGTGGGACTGGTTAGACAGCAATCAGGCTGATGTGGGTTCTGAATTTCAGGCTTATAATTGTAAGCCCCTAAATTCACTCTAAGCCCACAACAACATGTGCTGTTACTTATTTGCAAAATCTCCAAAAGGTATACTGAAGGCACTTAAGTTTTTGTAAAGAATCCATGCTCTAGAACACCCAAGGGAATTAATACCTATAGGTCAAACTTGTTCAATTGTGACTCTGAATTGTGTTTTAACTTTTGCCTGAATATTAACAACAGCAACCATACCATCCTGTAAGCAAAATAAAAGGATCAGCTCTTGAGAAAATACACACACAACTTGTGATTTTAACCTACAAGTTCGTAAGAGATGAACCTAACTTTGTCAGTTTAGTACCACTGGAAGATGAAATGTGTAGAGTTGCTTATCACAGGAATTTCTGAGACTAAGGTGTAAGTTCTTTGATTGCATATTTTGATGGTACAAATATTGTTTCTGATTTTACGTATTCCAAGAGCCCACCCTATGCCCCGCTACTGAAGGTCATCACACTGGTGCTTGGGTGGGTCTGCAAGCCCCAGGAACATCTGATCGGGGAAGGCAGGCTTTCAGAACACTGGCCCAGCATCTGAAGTATTTTTCCACAGGCTGAAACTCTACTGGAAGAGTTGTTTCCTTCAAAGGGATCTGTTAAGAGAGCCAGCCAACCAGTATATTCGGAAAAGTCCTTAAAATGTACCCGCTGTACTTTGTGCCCAGTTTCCTTGTATGAGAATAACTGTCTTGAAATCTGGTGTTGATTATTCAGTGTACTTAAGACAGTTTTCTGGGAAGATCTTGAAATGTTCTGCAATTGAATGGTAGATGGTCTCTATTTCTTAAAATAGCTTCTTTTCATGAAAAGAACATTTGTCATTTAGCCACATTTTGCACTATTTTCACACATTCTGCATGTACAAATATTTGATTTTGGCATGTGATTCAAGATATCCAGTTAGCATAAAAGCTAATTCAACCCAACTGCCAATAAGCTTACTTGTGTAAATCGTGTAACAATTTGCCCCCACTTATGTTTCCTTCTGGGCAAAAGGCCTATAGGGGGTATATTTCAGGGTCCTCAGATGATATTTACCTTAGATCAATTCAGTCACCTGTAACGTCTTAAACGTTAAAAATCTGAAGGTGTTCAGACCACACAGACGTGTCTCCTCCGCACCCACCATTGCCAGTCAGCTGACTCTGATGGGTTATGGAAAAGGAAATAATTGCCGTGAAACCCACAAAACTGCCAGGGGAGCGGGGCATATTTTGGCAGCTCTGGACCCAGGTTTCAGAAGGCATTTTACAACCCCAATATACTATACAGCTCAAGCTGTGAGTGCTCACCATCTCGAGACATCCCTACGGCAAGGCATTTCTGTAATCGACAGTGTTGGCAGCGGTTTCTACTGGTTCGATCAATCAAACAGTTCTTCTGACGAGGACAGGAGTAGGTGGCGTTGCTTTGCTGACTTCTCCTGAAAAAGCCCTGTGATTCAGTTATAAAATATAAAACAGGTTAGTGTCAGTTTGAGCTGTATGATACTAAAGGCAGTATACTAAGCACTGAGCGGCATTAATATTTAATGAGAATTAAACTTGTAGCAGAATCATCCAGGAGACCATTAATGATATTAAAGTCACTTCTTTTTCCTTGAGTGAAATTGATCCCCAGAGCCTAATCCTCGGTCCCTTACACATGCAAAACTTTCTTTAATTCCAAGAGCTCGTCGTCTATGTAAACGGGCATAGGAGCAGACCCTGTTCTTGGCTTCTGATGATCAAAAGCAATGTGTTGATGGAAAAGTACAAAGGCATTTACCTTTAACCTTTATCCCCAAAATATTTTTAGTAGAATAAATGCAAAACACTTCTCTGTGATGTTCAGAGATAAAAAAATGCAACCTTACCGTAACCCAGGGTGGCTGCAATCCTGGTATACTGTGGTTATTCTCTATCGGCCTCCTTAAATTCACTACCCTTTAGGTGTCTTGCATTCCCCAAGTGAGAATCTACTTCTCCAAGAAGTTAAATGACACTTGGATGGATTATTTTGGCAGATTAACCAGATTGGGAATACTTATTAACCCTGACAATTTGAAAATACCATGTATTCAGTTTCACGGCCTTTAAAATTGAACAAATCCAATCTGATGTTCATCAAGTTCCACTTATTTGTTAAGCACTGTTTTGGAGATGAGAGAGTGTACAAAGATGCATGAGGCGCGCTGACTTCAAGGATTTCATTCATTCATTCATGTGTGCTACGTTCTTGAGCTAGATTCTTACTAGTTCATTAATTTTTGGTGTTTATTCTTTTCTTAAAGCTGCAAGTTTTCCTTTTAGTTATGTATTAGTAGCAACCCACAAATTTGCTATGTAGTATTTTCATTATCATTCAATTGAAAATGTTCTAATTTTCAATATATTTCTTGTTTAATCCCATGTGTCATTTAGAAGCACATTTCTTAATATCCAAACATATGAAGGGTTTGGGGTTATCTTTTTATTGTAAGCTAGGGATGTACTCTGACGAAAAAGAAAGTAACCAGAGTTATTTCTATGAAGCAGAGCCATGAAGGGTACAGAGGAGTATTATCATCTCCAAATCTTTAATGGCAACGATAGATGATTCCAACAAAAGGGACGCTAGTGGAGAAGGGAGAGGTAAAATCCTGAAGAACTGCCAGAGTGGTGGGCAAACTGATAAGGGTATTCTCTTACCAAAAGATTTTTCTGGACGCCAACTTGGCAGTTGTATCAAAATCCTTAAAAACATGTCTATCCATTGAACTAGTAATTATTCTTTAGGGAATATATTCTAAACAAATATTAAGAGTGGTACGAAGATTCACCTACAAGGATATCCATCACAGCACTGTCTGTATTATAAAGAAAGTTTCAGAAAAACACTAAACGCCCAACATTAGTGAACTGGAACAGTCGCATTGGATACCCACACATTCAGCAACCACTGAAAATGAAATTTAAGAAATATAATTATTGATATAAAAAGGTGATAAAAATAGACTGCTGAATAAAAAGAACAGCTAAAGAACTAAATACAATAATCCAATTTTTTTGGGGGGGAGTAATCCATATATTTATGGATTAACATAGAAGAAACTTTGGAAAATTATTCTCCCAAGTGAAAAGAGCTGTTGGCACTGGTTGGTGGGGCCCTGAGTGATTTAAATTCTCTTTCTGTGATTTAAATTATCTGTGTTTTCTGATTTTTTGACAATATGCATGAGCTATGCGGGAAGAGCAGTCTAGTACATCTATTCTCTTTTGTGATGGTTGGGTGACTTTGTGGATTAAATCGATGTATAAGATGGATATGACCTCAGTCTCCAGTTCTTTCCTTTTGGAAGCCAACGTGGAATGGGAGGGAGCATGACCTCTCACGCTCCCTCTTGGCTTTCTGCTAAACTGCTTCCTAAACTAAACATGGTTTAGGTTAGGCTGGGGGCCCAAGGGCTCAGACTGTCCCTGCATTGTACTTTAAACTTTTCTTATATCGAGTCTGTGAAGCAATCTCTCTTTTCTCAAAATATCTAAAGCTGTGGGTCCCCCCTGCCCCGCTCTGTGAAAAGGAAGTGAGAAGAAGTAAAGCTTTCTTTGGGGCCTAATGGAGGGAATTCAAGAAAATACAAATGGTAACAGAGGTAGATACTCATTAGAAAGAGAAACTAAGAGGTCAGCTGTCTAGGTATTCCATTTAGTCTGAGACATAATGTCTGCCAAAGCTGAAAGGGGTTTCTTTCTTGAGACTCTATCACCACTCAGACCCTGTGTCTGTTGTCACTGCAGATGTCTAAGACCAGGAATTGTTTGCTTTTCCTTTAGTTGAGGCTCAATTCTGCTTGCTTCACTATGAGCCTGTTGAATTTGTCCTATGATCATTGAATATGGAGAATGTCTGAGTGATCTCTTTTTTTCCTTTAAACAGAAGCACTACTTGCGGGCTGCCATGCTATCTCCCAATATTTAGTCTGTAGACCAAATCGCAGCACCTGTCACTGTTCTTTTTTAGGTTCTTTTCTACCTTTAGCATTTTTTCCCCTCAGAATTCTCTCCAATTTCTCTTTCTTTAAAAATCTGAAATCTGGAATTATATACAGTTCTTGAATAACGGTTTAGTCACTTACAAAAAGGATGCTACTTTTTAGTTTCCACATATTACATTCAAGTTAACATTGATTACCACTAATAAAGTCCCAGAATGGTAGCACGAAAGCCATATATTACCACCAATTTGCTCTGCTATAAGGGAATTCTGAAAGGGCATGATGATAATGATGATGATGAAGGGTTTGAGATAGCAAGGGAGCAAATAGACACATCTTGTTGTTCACGACACAGTTTATTCTTCATTGAGTCAGTTGAGCAAGTGCCTGGAGTGGCAGAGCTAAGAACCAGAGAAGAGAACTTTCTTTTGGAGGAAGTCAATAGAGTCATGCCCACAAGGAGAACTACCAAATACCGGATGGGAGGGTTCAAGCACAATTATAAAGTGAGAGCCTTAGAGAGAGAGGGGCTTAGCCTCCATCAGTCAGATAAACATTGAACTTTGAATGTCAGACAGAATGAGGGCTTGGTCTTCCTTTTTATTTTTTGTTCCTCAATTCTTTTCAATATTCCCTGGGGGGTTTCTCAGAGGTTTAAGGATTTAGGAAGTTAAACAAATAAAATATTTAAAGCTAAAGAACACATAAGAGGGAGACAGATTAGAAGAGTGAAAAGGAACAGGAAGAAAGGTAGAAAGTATGGTACTTTCTACCTAAAGGTAGAAGAATGCTCATAAATGTGGAAGCATAATCTTGACGGATTGTGTAGCAATCCTGGAGAGGGTTTCACTGAGAAATGACTGAGCTGAGACACCCCTTCTAGGGGTTGGGGACTTTGAGGCCACACAGAGAACAGGGACGACACAAGCCAGTGCATGGAGTTTTGGGTGGAATTGAAGAAGGTATAAAGAACAGCGAAAGTGCTGAAGCTGTTAGTTGGGAAAGATATTAAACACACAATTTTGGAGTTTTATTTCTAAAAGATGAGCTAATAAATTACTTCACTTGCTTTCTTAAAAGTTCATTTTTTTACAGGTGTCAAAACACATGGAGATGTGCCATTACAAACATGGCGGGCTTTGAGCAGAGAGCCACCATGATGAATTTCAGGGTAAGATATATTTAGTGTGACTGTGGCACACTACCACCACCTGGTGGCAGCAGACTAACATGCAGTTATTGCAAATAGTAAATTAGAATAATATAAACAGGCATTTAGAGCTGGAAGAGAATTGAGAGATGATCAGGTCCAGTAGTTCTCAAACAGACAGTGTATCAGAATCACCTATGGAGCTTTAAAAAAATACTTTAGGTCTACTGAACTGAAATCTTTGGGGATGTAGTCCAGCTATACCTATGAACAGTATGAAATAGTCATTTTTGTAGGTCAAAAAAAAAAAATGGCGATTTTGAACGGTAAATATTTTAACACAGTTTCTTGAAAACTCTGCTGCTTTCCTCTTATTAAGAACCAGAGATCTACTCTAATTTTCTGATTTTGCAGATAACAAAAATGAAGCTCAGAATGGTAAGTGATTTGTTCAAGGTTGTCCCATGGCAGGTGAGAGTCAGTGCCGAGATTCAAAAGCCAGTGTCCTAATTTTAAGTGTAGTGCCCTCTCACTTAAGTATCTCTAAGTGTTGGACTAATAAAACTAAGGTCACACAGTCTTGATTTGCTCACGCACAGCTACCCCGCATATCAACCTTCTGTCTCAATTCCCACTGTGTCAACAACTCTTCAGTGTTGTTTCACCTCATCTTTCGAAGTGCCAGTCATTGAGTTTTATTTCTGATTTCTGCCTTTCACTCTCTGGAAAATCCTATTGCCTATTTTTTATTTAATAATATGGTGGTACACCATGAAATTGTTCATCAGTCCCAGTAGATTGGAGCTTCCCAGGACCGGGTCAAAGGGCAAGGTATGTGGGGGAAGGCTCATACCAGGTTGCAAGAGCTGAATGTTAAAATTTCGTGAGCCAGTTGTTAAACACAACCATTATTAAAAATTGACTTATTATTTTATTATTGTTTTGCTAGTATCCATGTGCTTGGGGTTATTTATATCAATTCTATCTGAATGGTAGAGATACTACATAATTGTCTGTTGCTGTCCAGATCTTCCCTACTCTGTATTCAGTAAGATCACATGTTGGGAGGGTTGATATTGACCATGTGGAGGTAGTATTTATACCACAGAAATTGGCAAATGCTACAAATTGGGTCTTGCTTTATTGTTTCGCTTTCTGTCTACTTTTGAAAAGTGATGGAGAAAATGATAACAATGTGGGTTAAATTTAAAAGTATGTCACGTCTGTAGTCATTGCATTGTGAACAGCACCCAAGAATGAGGAAACATTCTTCCAGTACTTAAAAACTATTATCTGATTCAGCAAAGAAGTTGCTCATGTCATCATTGA